GGGGGGAGGGCCGCAGAGCCACATGCTCTACCCCTTCACGGGAGCGGGGCTGGCTGGCTTCAGCCCAACCCCTGATAGCCAGAGGGAGACACATGGACCAGAGGAGGAAAACCAGGGGTGGACTGGCCTTAGGAGGGCCCAGTGGCTGGGGAGAGAGAGCTGGGACAGTCAATGGCTACCACGCTCTGGCCTGGCCCTTCCTGGCTGCCTGGGGAAGAGCCGGGGCTGCCTACCCTAGAAGGGGGGCTGGCGAGCGTAGCGAGCAGGGGGCACAGCCCCCTAGTATACTTAAAATCTTTTATGTCACCTCTTAGTCTTCTGTTCTCCAGACTAAACAAATCCAATATTTTTCATCTTCCCTCATAGGACAGGTTGTCTAGACCAAGAGTTTCAAACTCCTGCCTGCAGGTCAGTCCTCACTGGAGGGATTGGGCAATCTGGCCCAGGACTCCTGGTTGGCTGGAGTGGGGGGGCCCGGCACCATTAACAGCCCCCAAACTTCCTATCATCATCCCGCTCTCTCCCCCTATTGCTCCCCATCCCCCAAGTATGTTTATTTGGTGATCACTAGGGGTGGGATGGAGTTATCCTGTAAGGCAGCAGTGGTCGCTTGGAAAGTGGAGTGCACTGGATGGGTACACTTGCTCTGCTTCCTCTGTGGCTTGTGTTGCTGTGGGGTGTGCAGAGAGCATCACTCTGTGCTAGGCCCCCTTGGTGAGCCCCAAAGCCGCATACTTGGGGACCGCGATGCCATCGGGTGAGCAGGCAGGGGGTGATGGTAGGAAGGGGCTGATAATAACAACACCCCTGCCTCGTCCACTGGGAGTCGTGGGCCATAGTGCGCTGTGGTCTAGACCTTGAATAATTTTGTTGTTCTTCTCTGGACTCTCTCTAATTTGGCCACATAATTCCTGAAATGTGGCAGGCAGAACTGGACACAATACTGGAGTTGAGGCCTAACCAGTGCAGAGTAGAGTGAAAGAATGATTTTCATGTCTCTTACAACACTCCTGTTAATATATCTCAGAATGATGTTTGCTTTTTTTGCACCACAGTTACACTGTTGATTCATATTTAGTTTGTGATCTACTATGACCTTCAGATTCCTTTCTGCAATACTCCTATTTCGTATGTGTAGGAGATTCTATTTAAGTGGAGCACTTTGCATTTCTTCTTATTGAATTTTGTCCTATTTACTTCAGACCATTTATCTGGAGATTTAAACAAAACCAAACAAAACCACACAAGTAAAGCAGCCACAGAATAAGAAAGCCAGAAACAGGGCTTATTTAATCAGGAGAATGAGTTGTTGTGATAAGCTCTCTGTCATCCAGGCAGCAACTGCTTGCAATTCTGGGTCTGGTTCATTCTCCTCTAGTAAGGAAAGCTAATACTGCAATAAACTCCAAATGAATACAAGGGAATATATGGTATAGGTTGCCTAATTTTTTGTAAATATCACCACTTCAAACTGTGACTAGGAGATTCCCTCACAAATGATGCCAGGAGAAAGGTAGTTATGAAAACTCTTCCCTTCCATTAGGGTGGGAGAGTTCCATCCCCACTAGATTGTGACCATTATAAGTTACAATACCAACTAATGGTGACAAGTGTATCACACATGGAAGCATCTGAAATTACCAAAGTTTTCCCTCCATTTAGAAAATAACTGATAATTATGCTATGGTGGTTGTCAAAAAGTTTACCTATTTTAGTTTCTACTACGTTTGCACAATAGAAAACTTGGAAGGAAAGTTGACTTTTATATCTACTTCTATTATTGCTCCCCATTTTTTAAAAATTGTATGTGACTAAGTAATCTTTTTTGAAAGGAATTTCTGGAAAAATAATGTTTGGCATTTCAGTAAATTTGTTTTCCTATTTGCTTTGTGAATAGTGTGATTAGTTTTCTAATTTCATCTGAACAATTTAAAAAAGTATCTTATATTCCATTCTACTTAGATTCACAGTTTGAGAAATGAAAGATTCAGCAAAATTTTCAGAAAACAAATGTGAATCCAAGAAGGCCAAAAAGTAATCTACAAGTAGCATTACAGTAACCAGAGAAAAAGTACCACTCAGAAAATTACTAGGTGTAGGTTTTAAAAACTGTTTAAAATGTAACATTCAGCATGCACTGTGCTGAAATTTCTAAAAGATATGCAAGATCTTTACCACAACTGTGGGCTTGACATAGAAAACATACAGTGAAATTCAATGACCACTATTTACAAAAGTAATCTAAGTCTTGTTTTTATTTATTTTTGGAACACTTAATATGCTTATTTTATTCAATAGTTATGAAATATATATATTACATAGTAATAATATTAAAAATATCAAACTCTTACATGATACTGTGACCAAACTGGCTTTATATTATGGCTATAGGCTGGCTATAGTTTTCAGTAGTTGGAGTAGCATTAATAGAACAGTATATCCTGAAATACCATAGACAAAAAGAGCCATCCATATCAGTGCTTGGTGGATCCAAGAAAGAAAAAACATGTACTGTAATTATTAAATTAATGAGCTAAATGAATCTTTTACCCCAGTTACTTGGGGTACTCAACACATAAGTCTAATGTTGTTAGATTACTTTTACATTATCTTTAAGAGAAAAGGAAAATCAGAAGAAAACACTTAAAAATACTCAGAAAGCTGCATCATGTATTTATAGCTAGGGTCAGGGGTGGGGAAACAGGGAGAAGATAGAGGTAAAAGATAGAATTTCCTTACCCAAGATTAGGAAAACTGGTGGAAAATATCCACTGATCTTGGGAAGTTCACTGACCCCTTGCAGAGAATTAGTGTTATAATGCTCTAAGAACTGTCTATAATTCCTTGTCTGATTTATTGAGATGACACTTTCTTCCTGTAAAAAAAGAAATCCAGCATATTAAAGTCATATCCAGCATATTTACAGAGAGACAAACTGCTTCAATTATATAATGTGTGTGATGTGTCTCTTAAAAACTATCCATAACATAAGGGCAAAGGCTATATATTGGCAATTTGTACAATAAGTAGTATAAAAAATGTAGGTAATGTAGGGCAAAAAGAGGGACAACTGCATTTTTTTTGTTATTTAGAGGAACTACCAGTACATCTTAAAAATGCATACAAAGTACTGTTTGTTTTGTACTCTGATTCCCATCCATCAGCTCAGCAGCATGCTACAATCCTAGATGTCAAACAAGCATGCGTCACCACCACATACCTCTTCACAAATAAGTCAACAAAGAGGATGTAGGGCAAAAAGAGGGACAACTGCATTTTTTTTGTTATTTAGAGGAACTACCAGTACATCTTAAAAATGCATACAAAGTACTGTTTGTTTTGTACTCTGATTCCCATCCATCAGCTCAGCAGCATGCTACAATCCTAGATGTCAAACAAGCATGCGTCACCACCACATACCTCTTCACAAATAAGTCAACAAAGAGGAGTCACAGTTAGGGAAAGAACTCCCGTTTCTAGAATGGCAGCCCCAAATCTCACTCACTTCACAACAATGCCTTTCAGATTGACATTCAACAATATACCAATTGTCTAGTGCTGACTAATAAACAGTCATATAATGTACTAGAAAAGTGTGTGCCAATTCCTTCTCTTGTGCCTGGTTCAGAAAGAGCCTAGCAATTACTCCTTTTGCTCAAGTGATAGCGGTTCGAATTGAAGATCTATGGCAGGGGTGGTGTAGCCAGACAGGAACTCCCCTTGTAACATCCATTTTTGCTTGCCTGGAGCATCCAGGGCACACAGAGCAGAAGGCCCAGGCTGTGTGACCATGAATGGCTGTAAACAGAGATACGCCAATTGCTGACCAAGAGGCTGCCAAGGAGTGCCCTTGACTGAAACCCATATTGATACGAACACACATCCATCCGCGGGGGGAGGAATCTCTCGCCCAGTAAAAAAAGTCTAGTATTCACAATTTAGTTATCTCTCTTGCAAGTGTAAATTAACTTGAAACTTGCTTGTAAGAACTGGCGCCACAAAACGGACCAGTACAATTCGGCATCTTAGATAAGAAAGAGGATACGGGCCCCCAGGGGTATAAAGATAGGTCCAGCA